TTCCCCTGCTTGTATTCCCTCTCGCACTCTCTGTGTCAAATAAATAAATAAAAATTTTTAAAAAGTTTTAATTAATTAATTAGTTTATTAAATCGAGGTGCACCTGGGTGGCTCAGTCTGTTAACCATTTGACTCTTGATCTCAGCTCAAGTCTGGATCTTGGCTAGGGGCTTGATCTCAGGGTTATGAGTTCAAGTTCTACACTGAGTTCCATACTGGGCATGGAGCCTACTTTAAAAAAAAAAAAAAAATTGAATGCTAACATCTAGTACAATCAAACTCTTTAACAATATCTACCAGAGCTGACATATGACCCAGAATTTTATTCCTAGGTATACACCCAAGAGAGATGAGTGCATACATCCACCAAAAGACTTCCAGTATCCATGGCAACTTTGTCATAGAGCCCAAACTGTTAAGATCCCAAACGTCTGGGGCGCCTGGATGGCTCAGTCAGTTAAGCATCTGCTTTCAGCTCAGATGTGATCCCCGGGTCCTGGGACTGAACTCCAGGTTGAGCTCAGCAGGGAGCCTGCTTCTCCTTCTCCCTCTACCCCTCCCCTCAGCTCCTGTTCGCTCTCGCTCACTCTCGCTCTATCTCAAATAAATAAATAAAATCTTAAAAAAGAAAAAATCCCAAATGCCCATCAACAGTAGAATAATCATTGTGGCACATCCAAACAATAAAACATTACATACTCCCACATACAACATGGATGGATATCCAACACCCAGACACAATGTTGAGCAAAAAAACCCCAAAGAGTGCATACTGATTCTATTTATATTCTATTACGTGAAACTCAAGAATACACAGAACTAATCAATGGAGATAGAAGTCACAATAAGTGGTTACTTGGGCAGCCAGTACCCATGAGGAAGAAACACAAGGAAAGTTTCTGAAGTTCTGAAAATATTCTCTATCTTGACCTGATGCATATCTTGACATGAGCAGCCTTTCCATGACAGTATCCTTATATAAAAATCCACTGAGTATTGGGACACCTGGGTGGTTCAGTCAGTGAAGCATCTGACTCCTGATTTTGGCCCAGGTCATGATCTCGGGATTGTGAGACTGAGCTGCTGGGCATGGAGCCTGCTTAAGATTCTCTCTCTCCCTCTCTCCCTCGCCCCACTCATGCATACACTCTCTCTTTAAATAAATAAAATCTTTAAAAAAAAATTTTTTTTTAAAGATTTTATTTATGTATTTGACAGAGAGAGATCACAAGCAGACAGAGAGGCAGGCAGAGAGAGAGGAGGAAGCAGGCTCCCCGCTGAGCAGAGAGCCCGATGCGGGGCTCGATCCCAGGACCCCGAGATCATGACCTGAGCCTAAGGCAGTGGCTTAACCCACTGAGCCACCCAGGCGCCCCTAAAAAATTTTTTTTAAATGAGTCTGCTTCTAGAAGCTTGGCAACAACAGAGGTTTCAAACTTTCTTGAGCTACTGCAGACTGGGACAAGTTCAGTGACCTGAGAAATTATGAGAAAAAAAAAAAAAAGTAATCTTATGTCTTCTGAGAAAGAGATAATTTCTAACTCGTGTATTTATTCCCTTTATGGAACATTAAGCTAAAATAATCTCAATGATGAGCAAACAAATCTGGGAGTAAAAATCAGAATCCTAGGTATCAGTATTTTATAAAAGCTCTGTAACCAATTCTAATGTGCCGCCCAAGTAAGGACCATTCTTCTACCTCAGCTAGCTCAAACTTAAGACTCCCAAGGCTTCCTCTTTTCATTTCAGTAGAACTGTGAGACAAGGTAGTAAGAACAGAAGCTTGAAAAGATAGTGGAGCAGAGAGGACATACAGAGTTACCTCTTTGAGAAGAGGAGGGATCTAGGGCAAGGAAGGAAAAATGGAGGTCAGTGTGAATGGAACTAAGAACAAAGCTGTTGGAGAATGAATTTCACAATTCCTATTTCAGTTCTAGCTTCACTACCAGCTGGCTATGGGTATGACCTTAGGCAAACTGCTTCATCTCTCCAGGCCTCCCTATGATTTCGTACAGCTTTTAAACAAAGTCTGGAGAGGAGGGTGAGAGGAATCAAGTAAGAACAGGCCCCTTTGGAAGACGGTAGGATTGCCTCCTACGTAGATAGCACTTACCATCCTATATTGTAATTATCTATTTGTTTATCTTCCCCCACCAAACTGTGAGCTCTTAAAAAGCCAAGATTATAGTATTTCATCTCCAAATCCAAGCACATGCATAGAACTTGGCACATAGGAATAGTTCAGGAACTGCTCAATGGCTAAATAGTTGAACACTACGAGAAATGCCTATATTTATTTTCTTACAAGCACAGGTGTATTTACATAAGGAAGAACAATTCATCTCCCACATGTAACACTGAGTAATAACATTGAATATTATTTTCTTTATTAACACCAACTAAAGGAAGTCCAGATTCTAGGATGCCCAGAATCATCAGAAAGGCTCCCTGAGATGTCCTGCCAGAGGCCTCAAAAGCCCATGCTTCTTCCTCCCTAAAAAATAATGTCTACTAACACTAATACCTAATGCTTATACCTTATTTCGTAGTTCAAAGCACTTTCATTCCCATATACCCAAATAATTCTCACAACTCTATGAGGCGGTATTATCAAACCCATTTTATGCGTGAGGAAACAGGTTCATAATTTAAATAATTTGCTAACCTAAAGCAAGCTGAAAGCTTCTAAAGGAAGGCTTTCATAGGCAGCCCCTGTCTTCAGTGCCCAGAATGAGAAACAGGAACATCATCAATTCCACTTCTCCAGTCTCCCCAATAGATCAGTCTACTATCAGCTTTGCTTTATTAAGCTAAAATATAGTTATCTCTTAAGTCTTCCTTATCCCCATGAGAATCAGTTATACAGATTTTTTTTTTAATTTTTTTTGGGGGGGGGATAGGAGGAGGGACAGTGGGAGAAAATCTTAAGCGGTCTCCACCACCAGTAGGGAGCCCCACAAGGAATTTGATCCTGATGTCATGACCTGAACAGAAACCAAGAATTAGACACTTCATCAACTGAGTAACCCAGGGGCCCCTACAGATTCCTTATATCATGTTTTAAGCAAAAAAATAAGGCCAGCCCAGGGAGAAAAATCCCAAGACTACAAACAGCCACACTTTCTTGTCAAAGCTGCTGGCTAACCTCCCTGTGTATAAAGCTAAAGAAATCAGAGCAAAATTTGCTCCAATGGAAGCTCTAAACCCTGCTGACCCGAGAGCCCTGCCGCGTATCCGCCAGCCATGCACTCCTGATTCAGTCTGTACTTGCTCCAGTATTTTCTCACTAACTCGGACTGTTACGTTTTCTCCACACCACTGAGAATTCTCACAGAGCAAAGGTCATGTCTTCCAGTTAGGAAGGTCCCGCTTCTCTAAATGAGCACATAGTACCCAAAATCAGACCACTAAACATGTTTTTGTGTCCCAGTAATTGACATAAACTGCCTTTCCCAAAATTAAAAATTAAACTACTTTAAGTAATGAACAGGCTGACCTTTTTCAACAGAACACATATAGAATCTAGATTCTCGAAGAAGCAAAGATCAAAGGACACTCAGCACTACAATAATGCCAGGCACACATTTTAGAGGTGCTGAATAAAAGTATGCTAAATAAATGATAACTTAAAGCCCATTACAAAATCACTTAAGACAGAATAAAATAACTAAGGACCAAGAAAGATGGGCACAGAACGCCAAGTTAACTGGAAAAAAAGCAAATCAGATTCTAAGGCAGTTCCACCCAAGGTCATGCTTGGGGTCCCACAAGGGATTGCTCTAAATTTAAGCACCACATTACATCTTCACAGAGACCTACAGCCCCAGTTCGTGCGGGGGAGGGGGGGGGGGGGGGGCAGCGGCTAGCATATAGGTTCTCTCGCCTAGAGCAGCATCTCAATCAGCAACAGCTCTCCCCCTCCCTCCAGTTACTCCCTACTCACATGCCCTGAGGTCCAGCCACAGGACTAGAGAGTTAATAAGCCAGGCAGAGCTAAACACAGGAGGAAATTAGCATGCCACCTGACACTTCTCTGGCACAGCCTAAACTGATTAATTTAAGTTACAAACATGACCAAAGATTCTACTATGCTGGTGAAACTACTCTTATTCTGCAAACTAAAAATAGCTTATGTATCAAACAGGAGCATTCCTCAAGTGCTTTTGCCCTGTCACCCACGCAAAGTTCCATTTCCTCAAATCCCTCACCTAAAGTGTTTTCTCGGAGCCCCATCTGCCCACCTCTCCATCTGCCCCACTCCTCACCCTAATCCCCTGCACAGAGCAAGAGACCTAAACTCCTTCACCTGAACTCAAGCTTTTAAAGTTTGTTTCCAGTTCCAAGCATGTACAAAGCTTGGAGGCTACTGCCTTGTGTTAAGCCCCAACCGATGGGCTCCGCTGCAGCAAATAATGAAAAGCAAAGAAAAAAATGAAGGACAAGACAAGGCATGAGCAGGAAGTCAGCTAAACGCTTTTCATTCAAGCAGGACTGGAGGGAAACCCACCCACTGGGAAGGAGAAAGCACGAGGTGAATGGTTTCCAGTATAGAGTCAGACTGTATCTGGCTTGAGGTCCTTACAACACAACCATCAAGCCTGCTCTGGGGACAGACTCATCCCCAAGGAGCTCTGAGTACTCTACAAGAATCATCAAGCTGTCCTCGGGTTGACGTGACATATTTAAGGGGAACAAACTCTATAATTTAAGCTGAACAAGCCAAGCTTAAGCCACAGATTTTCTAGAGCTGAGGGAGGGGCTCAAATCATTTCACTAGGAAGTGGGAGCTCAGACAGAAGCTAAAAATCCTGTCCACGGTAGCTCTCCTTCCCGCTGCGCCCTGAGGTAAGCTGGCACGCCTCTTCCAAAGGTGGAAACTAACTGTGGACTTTGAACTTCCTTATAGCCCCTTGTTCTCTGCAATAGCATCAGAAGAATGCCACAGTACTATGCCACCCTGCATGGTCTGAACAAAGCATTGGCTAGTCAAGAACAGTTACTTGGGATAAACATTAATATACTCCCCACAGATCCAACTTCGAAGTCTTGTTTCACTCCTGGTTTAACCTTTTACATTCTCTCTAAAAACAAAAAACAAAAACAAAACTGGCTTATCTAGAAAACCCACACTCTCAGAAACATTCCTACTGGGGGGGGGGATTTAGCTTGAGACACCCCCCGCATACACTATGGTAAAGTTCCTATACAGAATCTATGCCCTGTGTCAAAGCAAACTGTAAGTTGTGGCCCTTCATAGACCAGCGTCAGAACCTTCCAGGATTCATGAAATCAAAGAATAGCAGTGCTAAAAAGATCTTTGAGGATCAATTACCCAGCCTTCCATTTTAAGGACAGGGGAAATAAGGTGCAAAGAGGAAAATGGAGGCTTGGAGCAAAACCGGACCTAAAAGCTAGGTGTCCAGCATCCCAACTTAAACCCCTTAAGCCACCCCCATACCTCTTCCTAAGACTGAGTTTATGGGAGTCAAGTGGCTAAGGAAAGAGAGGGCAAAGCAAGCAAATCTATGGCTCTAATCAAAGAGAACAGCTCCGTGAACTCTCCTCTCTTCTGCTGCTTTGTGGTGAGATTCAGGGCCAGTTTCTCCACACGCCTTAATTTCAAGAGCTTGTCTCTTAAACATGACATAATTTTTACTAAGAAGCAAGATATAAATTCCCACATACACCTTCCCTGGGCCTCCCAATCACTGGCCAGGCAAAGTCAAAAACAACCAACCGCTACAATGGAAGGGCTACAAGAACCCCGAAGCAGAACGGGAACAGCCCTCGAAGGAAGGGACACATTTAAAAAGATGACTCAACTGGGTGGCCCTACTGAAGGGAACTACATTACCAGACTTCATATTCTAGTACCCAGTCTCTAGGCCTTGGAGAAATTTTGATTCTCTGAATCTTGGTTTAACAGGAAGATAAAAAAAATACAGACTTTCATTCATTCGAAGTCCCTTTCAAGCTCTAGAAGGCTCCACCTCTGTACAAGAGGCCCCTGCCACAGAAAGACTGTAACCACTATAGTACCCAAGAAGCAAGGTACAAAAGTCTTAAGCTGGGCCACCAGCCTGGAGATGGGCCCTGCAGAGGCTTGAAGCTAGCCTTCCCACAACCTGACAGTAAACACCAAGGGCGCCACTAAAATTCAACATGGTGGAACAGTGCATACTTTCTTCAACAGTGTGCCCACTAGAATGTTGGCTGTGATGCCTTCAAGGATCTGGTTTGACCATCTTCAGATGGTTTAAATTTGCCCCTGCTGATTGCTTCCAGCCCCTCCAGTAAAATGAAACTGAGTATTTATTGAGTGTCTACCACTAAATATATTAAATACTTTCCCAATATCCTCATTCTCTATGTTCCCTTTGATGGAGCAGTTACATGTTAAAGACCTATGAAAAAATGTAAAACGCTTAATCACAAGTAAATAACTAGAAATTTCAATTAACAGAAAACAAAACAAGACAAAACGTCTGCGCATCAGCAGGCTTTTTCCTACAGCATCTCCGTCACACAGCCACGCCAGCACTCCCCTTTCAGAGACCTCGCCTTCCCAGGGGTAAGGCTGGTGCTGAAAACGCCAAATAATGTAAGCAAAGAGGACCAGGTCGGTTTTCTGCTGGCTCATCAACAAGACTTCTTAATACAGAGGCTACAGTGTATCAGAGATTAAAGCCAACAACTGAATCAATGTGAAAGGAAATGCAAGCTCAATGTAAATTATGAAAAGTAAAGAATCTTAAATAAACAAGTACTTGCCTGCCCACCCACTTAGCCTTGGATAAAGACGATTTCTATCAACAAGATTACACAGTAATTTTCAAACCTCAGTATGGATATGGACTTACTTGTTAAAAATGCAGATTCCCTGGGACCATTCTCCAATATTCTCACTAATTGGATCTGTTGTAAAGCCCATAGATTAGCATTTGTATTTTGAGACAGAAGGTCCAAAGACTATGCTTTTTCAAATACTGTGAGGAAGAATGACATTGTTAGCTCTCCTGGACACCTAAATGTACATTTTCTGGGAGGTGTAACCTACATTGTGTGTTCCGAGGACACCCAAGTGATTTTCAACAGTACCAGACCTACTCCCTCCCCTACTGAGAATCAATATGGGCTGATTTTAAGCACTTTAATAAGGTAATCCCCCTTCCACCTCCTAAAGCAACTTCCAAAGCCAGTGCCACCTCCACTCCTCATACCAAAGACCCTTCTAAAGGATTACTGAGACACACCATTAGGGCTCCTTTTCTTGGGTCACTCACTGGCTTCATTCTCGACTGTGTTACTTCTCAGAAAAGTCTTCCATTCCATCCTATCTAAAGTGAGATCCTCTCTAAAAATCAGCATCCCGTCTCTAACTTGGTCCTTGCTTCTTCTGTTCTATTTCTCTTCATGGTACTTAGCATTACCAGAGATTCATTGTATTTTACATTTTATTTACACTCTCCCTTACTAAATCATAAGCTCTACTAGAAAAAGGGCATTCCCCACGACCACCACTGTATTCCCAGCACCCAGAATAGTACCTGACATAGAGTAGGTGCTCAATAAATGTTTACAAATGAATAAAACACCATTTCAGAAATCAAAATAAGTTACTGGTCTTTCAAACCATTCAGTTTGCCTTCCATAAGCACTGCCAGCAGTGTCACCCTTGAGATGGATACCTCGCTCAGGAAGCTGAATCTGGTGACAGCCCAGAAGGGCAGCCTGCCACACGACTTTCACCGCCCTATGGTAATGTGAGATTCCCCCCCGCCCGCCCCCCGCCAACTGAACAGCAACAGAGGTTTAAAGGTCCAGCCTACAGATGTTTCCAAATGACTTATATTCCATAGGAATGACTTGGCTTTTACTATGTAAGAAGTCAAATGCAATGTTGGCAAACACCAGTGTGAGAGATGCATGTTTCAACAAAAGAAGAACATGGTATGTTGGCAGCCAAACATACTTTACCCGATTCTGCATTAGGTCAGCCAAACACTTGCTGTCAAGACGCAGCTATCTCTCACCACACACATTTGCCTCTTCTTTTGTTTAAAGGCCATAATGACTTATTAAAGACAGACTATACCAAGTGGTTCATATACATTACCGTAATCCTCAGAACAATCCTACAAAAAAGGTATTATTATCCCCATTTTATACATTAGCAACTTGAAGTTCCAAGGAGTTAAACAATTTAAAAGTAATGAAAAAGTAGCCGGGGGGGCCTGCGTGGCTCAGTGGATTAAGTGTCTTGTCTTTGGCTCAGGTCATGAGTCCAGGGTCCTGGGATCAAGCCCTGGGTCAAGCTTAGCAGAGAGTCCGCTTCTCCCTCTCTCTCTGGCCCCCATTCATGCTCTCTTGCTTGCTCACTCACTGTCTCCCACCACCAAATAAATAAAGTATTTAAAATAATAAAATAGTAGCAGGTTAGGTTCTGAATTCAAGTCTACTTGACTTTAAATTCTTGCTTTTTTCCTTTTAACACTTTCATCCCTCAGGCTCCCCGCATCATCTCCCACCCCCCTGCACTAAGCCTGGCATATAGAATACATTTGATAAAAGTTTGCTGAATTCTGCCTAAGATCAAATTCTTCAGTCCAACTTTGGTTAAAAAAAAAAAAAAGAATCATGTTCATTCAACTCCCTTTGAATAAGTAATGGAAAACATAGTTTTTTCAGTTATTCCAAAATGGAACCTATCAAAACATAATTCATTACTATGGAAATCTGGATATAAAGCAAGTGAAATCATAAAAGCGATGTCGTTTAGTACATTCCGAGCAGACATGAAGTAAAATAGGAGTTCAAGTTTCAGCTGTTTCAGCTATAAAATAGTGATAAATCCTCTTGTCTCCCCACCCAACAGTAGTGCCCTAAAATCTAAGTGTGATAATGTTTATAAAAACACTTCATAAACTGTAAGGCGTTACACAGAGATAACTATTACTGTGATCTGAACCTTGACAGCAGAATAAAAATCTGATATGACTCAACCTATAAGGCTAGCGTTAAAGTTCTACCACGTGTGGAAGCAATGTAAGAGGTAAATGTCCTAAACTCCAACTAGTCCTAAACTTTCCTAAAGAAAGGATGTGACCTAAAGAGTACTATGTTAAGTAAAATAAGTCAGATAAAGACAAATACCATGTGATTTCACTTACACATGGAATCTAAAAAACAAATGAACAAACAACAAAAAGAGAGTATTGTTGTAAATACTAACAATTAAACTAGTGATTGCCAGAGGGGACGGGGTGGAGAAATAGGTGAATTTATAAAATAAGTAAATTTCCAGTTATAAAATAAATCATGGGGATAAAAAGTACAACATAGGGACTATAATAAAAAAGAAAAAAAAGGAAAGGATGTGAAGTCCTACTTTTCCAGCTGTACCATTAAGTCTCTCAACGGCAAAGAACTGGGACATAAACATCAATATATTGTTTTGTTTTGTGTAGAAGGACCATGAATGATCTCACCACAATGTACAGAGGGGAGAGGGATGGGGAGCCTGGGTTCCTCTGTATCCAAATAATTCCTTCCTTTCATGCTAAGGCACTTATCTATTCAGATAAATCATATCTATAAACCAGAGTAATTAAAACAAGAGTCTAGATGATTTCTTCTAGCTTATAAAAGCGATGACTCTTAGGGACAGCCAATAAACACTATCACAGCATAAGTCTATATACTGGCTTAGTCCTCCATTATCTAAAGAGAAAATAAGCAGAATACAGAAAAAGATTTCAATAATCTTAAATATCTTAATCTTAAATAAAAGACTATATAGTTTTAGTCCTAGTTAATGTCATAAAGTACATTTATCAGTGACATGGCTGAAATTGGTAAGAAATGATAAAATCCTTCTTAAACCAGTGGGGTTTGGTAGGTGAGACAGAGAGTGAGTTAGTTAATTAGTTAAGGAGCTATCTGGATTGTATGTGGTTGTATTTTTTTTTAAGATTTATTTCTTGTAGAGGTGGGGGAGGGGCAAAGGGAGAAAGAGTGTCTC